TATATAGTTACGATAACTGAAAAATGTATATAGATACGATAATACCTGAAAAAATGTATATAGATACAGTAAATGTAAAAATATGTATAGATACAATGATAAATGTAAAAAATGTATATAGACAGGATAATAATTGTCATTAGAAGCAGAGTTTCATCAGGCAATGAGAGAAAGCTCTACGTAGAGCTAAACGTCTCGTGTGTCATTCAGGCGCTGTTTCGCCCGCTTGAATGCCACGAGAGCTGGACAGGCTGCAAGCTGTCAGTGGAGGGCTGTCAGAAGAGAGCCTAGGCCTATTGTAGGCTCTAAGAACCTGCAATAGGAGCCTACTGTACACCAACCAGTGACATGTGTACACCAACCAGTGACATGTGTACACCAACCAGTGACATGTGTACGCCAACCAGTGACGTGTGTACACCAACCAGTGACGTATGTACACCAACCAGTGAAGTGTGTACACCAACCAGTGACGTATGTACACCAACCAGTGACGTGTGTACACCAACCAGTGACGTGTGTACACCAACCAGTGACATGTGTACACCAACCAGTGACGTGTGTACACCAACCAGTGACGTGTGTACACCAACCAGTGACGTGTGTACACCAACCAGTGACATGTGTACACCAACCAGTGACGTGTGTACACCAACCAGTGACGTGTGTACACCAACCAGTGACGTATGTACACCAACCAGTGAAGTGTGTACACCAACCAGTGACGTATGTACACCAACCAGTGACGTGTGTACACCAACCAGTGACGTGTGTACACCAACCAGTGACATGTGTACACCAACCAGTGACATGTGTACGCCAACCAGTGACGTGTGTACACCAACCAGTGACGTGTGTACACCAACCAGTGACGTGTGTACACCAACCAGTGACATATGTACGCCAACCAGTGACGTGTGTACACCAACCAGTGACGTATGTACACCAACCAGTGAAGTGTGTACACCAACCAGTGACGTATGTACACCAACCAGTGACGTGTGTACACCAACCAGTGACGTGTGTACACCAACCAGTGACGTATGTACACCAACCAGTGACGTGTGTACACCAACCAGTGACGTGTGTACACCAACCAGTGACGTGTGTACACCAACCAGTGACGTGTGTACACCAACCAGTGACGTGTGTACACCAACCAGTGACGTGTGTACACCAACCAGTGACGTGTGTACACCAACCAGTGACATGTGTACACCAACCAGTGACGTGTGTACACCAACCAGTGACGTGTGTACACCAACCAGTGACGTGTGTACACCAACCAGTGACGTGTGTACACCAATCAGTGACGTGTGTACACCAACCAGTGACATGTGTACACCAACCAGTGACGTGTGTACACCAACCAGCGACGTGTATACACCAACCAGTGACGTGTGTACACAAACCAGTGATGTGTGTACGCCAACCAGTGACGTGTGTACACCAACCAGTGACGTGTGTACACCAACCAGTGACGTGTGTACATCAACCAATGACGTGTGTACACCAACCAGTGACGTGTGTACACCAACCAGTGACGTGTGTATACCAACCAGTGACGTGTGTACACCAACCAGTGACGTGTGTACACCAACCAGTGACGTCTGTACACCAACCAGTGACGTCTGTACACCAACCAGTGACGTGTGTACACCAGCCAGTGACGTCTGTACACCAACCAGTGACGTGTGTACACCAACCAGTGACGTGTGTACACCAACCAGTGATGTGTGCACACCAACCAGTGACGTGTGTACACCAACCAGTGACGTGTGTACACCAACCAGTGACGTGTATACACCAACCAGTGACGTGTGTACACCAACCAATGACGTTTGTACACCAACCAGTGACGTGTGTACACCAACCAGTGACGTGTGTACACCAACCAATGACATGTGTACACAAACCAGCGATGTGTATACGCCAACCAGTGACGTGTGTACACCAACCAGTGACGTGTGTACACCAACCAGTGACGTGTGTACACCAACCAGTGACGAGTGTACACCAACCAGTGACGTGTGTACACCAACCAGTGACGTGTGTACCCCAACCAGTGACGTGTGTACACCAACCAGTGACGTCTGTACACCAACCAGTGGCGTCTGTACACCAACCAGTGACGTGTGTACACCAACCAGTGACGTGTGTACACCAACCAGTGACGTGTGTACACCAACCAGTGACGTGTGTACGCCAAATAGTGACGTGTGTACACCAACCAGTGACGTGTGTACGCCAAATAGTGACGTGTGTACGCCAACCAGTGACGTGTGTACTCCAACCAGTGACGTGTGTACACCAACCAGTGACGTGTGTACGCCAAATAGTGACGTGTGTACGCCAACCAGTGACGTGTGTACACCAACCAGTGACGTGTGTACACCAACCAGTGACGTGTGTACGCCAAATAGTGACGTGTGTACACCAACCAGTGACGTGTGTACACCAACCAGTGACGTGTGTACACCAACCAGTGACGTGTGTATACCAACCAGTGACGTGTGTACACCAACCAGTGACGTGTGTACGCCAACCAGTGACGTGTGTACACCAACCAGTGACGTGTGTACACCAACCAGTGACGTGTTTACACCAACCAGTGACGTGTGTACACCAACCAGTGACGTGTGTACACCAACCCGCGACGAGTTTACACCAACTAGTGAGGTGTGTACACCAACCAGTGACGTGTGTACACCAACCAGTTATGTGTGTACCCCAACCCGTGACTTGTGTACACCAACCAATGACGTGTGTACACCAACCAGTGACGTGTTTACGCCTGCCAGAAACATGTGCAGACCTACCAGCGACGCGTGTACACCTACCAGCGATGTGTACTCGTCAAGCAGTGACGTGTACACGTCAAGCAGTGACGTGTACACGTCAAGCAGTGACGTGTGCGTCTCTCCAGTGTCAACATCAATTATATCCACACACAAGGAACGTAACAAAAGCATTTCAGTGCCTTTTTAGAGGTTCGTTGCACAACGGTAAACAGTGACTAACAGAGGTAAACAGTGAGTGAATAACAGAGGTAAACAGTAAGGGAATAACAGAGGCAAACAGTGACTAGCAGTGTAAACAGTGAGTGAAGTACAAGAGGCAGTTTGAGAAGGGAATTTTCACTGCCTTTCACCGCGTGTCGTCACACTACCAGGGATACCAAGGCTGTAAAGAGAAATGCTAAGGTCTGTGTCTGTCTCCCTCTACGGAGGAATACTCACTAAGGAAGTATACTAAAGCTCGACATTGGTATCCCTTTACGGAGGGATACTCACTATCGAAGTATACCAAAGCTGAACATTAGCATCCCTATACCTAGAGATACTCACGTTCCAGGGAGGTATACAAACGTCTGCGTTAGGGGCCATGAGCTGTGAATCGAGCCCTTCAACCACAAATAGGTGAGTACAAATAGGTAAAAGCACCCTCACACAGGCAGGGAGAGAGAGGACTTAGCAGCGACCAGTGAAGCGGAAACAGGAGCTATGACTCGACCCCTGCAAACACAAAGAGGTGAACACACACACAAACACACACACACAAACACACACACACAAGTACACACAACACACAAAAAAGTCCCCATAAAACGCTAAATGAAGCTAGAAAATATACTTAATAATCTTCTAGATTCCAGAGTAACAAGAGGCACAAGGATGTACTGACATCTTGCTATCCTTCCAGTGTTGTGGGGCGTTGGTGTGGACATGGTGTACCATCATCACCTGCTGGGTGTATATATACTGTGAGTATTGTCTCTTGACACTATTATTATTAGTAGTAGTAGCAGCAGCTGTTGTATTATATATATTTTATATATATATTATATAATATATATATATATATATATATAAAATATATATATATATAATATATATATATATAAATATATATATAATAAATATAATTAATATATTAAGTGAAATACTATAGCTATTAAACAAAAGCAACTTCCCACCTCCAGCACTGTAACATCCTCACTCATCCTTCAGAGTGCAGGCACTGTACTTCCCACCTCTAGCATTGTAACATCCTCACTCATCCTTCAGAGTGCAGGCACTGTACTTCCCACCTCCAGGACTGTAACATCCTCACTCATCGTTCAGAGTGCAGGCACTGTACTTCCCACCTCTAGCATTGTAACATCCTCACTCATCCTTCAGAGTGCAGGCACTGTACTTCCCACCTCCAGGACTGTAACATCCTCACTCATCGTTCAGAGTGCAGGCACTGTACTTCCCACCTCTAGCATTGTAACATCCTCACTCATCCTTCAGAGTGCAGGCACTGTACTTCCCACCTCCAGGACTGTAACATCCTCACTCATCGTTCAGAGTGCAGGCACTGTACTTCCCACCTCTAGCATTGTAACATCCTCACTCATCCTTCAGAGTGCAGGCACTGTACTTCCCACCTCCAGGACTGTAACATTTTCACTCATCGTTCAGAGTGCAGGCACTCTGTACTTTCCACCTCTAGCATTGTAACATCCTCACTCATCCTTCAGAGTGCAGGCACTGTACTTCCCACCTCCAGGACTGTAACATCCTCACTCATCGTTCAGAGTGCAGGCACTGTACTTCCCACCTCTAGCATTGTAACATCCTCACTCATCCTTCAGAGTGCAGGCACTGTACTTCCCACCTCCAGGACTGTAACATCCTCACTCATCGTTCAGAGTGCAGGCACTGTACTTCCCACCTCTAGCATTGTAACATCCTCACTCATCCTTCGGAGTGCAGGCACTGTACTTCCCACCTCCAGGACTGTAACATCCTCACTCATCGTTCAGAGTGCAGGCACTGTACTTCCCACCTCTAGCATTGTAACATCCTCACTCATCCTTCAGAGTGCAGGCACTGTACTTCCCACCTCCAGGACTGTAACATCCTCACTCATCGTTCAGAGTGCAGGCACTGTACTTCCCACCTCCAGGACTGTAACATCCTCACTCATCGTTCAGAGTGCAGGCACTGTACTTCCCACCTCTAGCATTGTAACATCCTCACTCATCCTTCAGAGTGCAGGCACTGTACTTCCCACCTCCAGGACTGTAACATCCTCACTCATCGTTCAGAGTGCAGGCACTGTACTTCCCACCTCTAGCATTGTAACATCCTCACTCATCCTTCAGAGTGCAGGGACTGTACTTCCCACCTCCAGGACTGTAACATCCTCACTCATCCTTCAAAGTGCAGGCACTGTACTTCCCACCTCCAGCACTGTAACATCCTAACACATCCTTCAGAGTGCAGGTACTGTACTTCCCACCTCCAGCACTGTAACATCCTCACTCATCCTTCAGAGTGCAGGCACTATACTTCCCACCTCCAGGACTGTAACATCCTCACTCATCCTTCAGAGTGCAGGCACTGTACCTCCCACCTTCAGGACTGTAACATCCTCACTCATTTTTCAGAGTGCAGGCACTGTACCTCCCACCTCCAGCACTGTAACATCCTCACTCATCCTTCAGAGTGCAGACACCGTACTTCCCACCTCCAGCACGGTAACATCCTCACTCATCCTTCAGAGTGCAGGCCTAGTATGGGCCTGTTGGCCCATACTAGGCAGGTCCTTTACAATTCATCCCACTAAGAAACATTTGACAAACCCAATTTTCAATGCTACCCAAGAAATAAGCTCTGATGCGCAAGTCCCACTCATATCCAACCCCTCCCACCCATGTACTTATCCAACCTAAATTTGAAACCACCCAAAGTCCTATCCTCAATAACCCAACTAGGTAGACTGTTCCACTCATCAACTACCCTATTTCCAAACCAATACTTTCCTATGTCCTTTCTAAATCTAAACTTATCTAATTTAAATCCATTACTGCGGGTTCTCTCTTGGAGAGATATCCTCAAGACCTTGTTAATATCCCCTTTATTAATACCTATCTTCCACTTATACACTTCGATCACTCATCCTTCAGAGTGCAGGCACTGTACTTCCCACATCCAGGACTGTAACATCCTTACTCATCCTTCAGACAGCAGGCACTGTACTTCCCATCTCCATCACTGTGACATTATCACTCATCCTTCAGAGTGCAGGCACTGTACTTCCCACATCCAGGACTGTAACAACCTCACTGATCCTACAGAGTGAAGTTACTGTACCTCCCACCTCCAGGACTGTACCATCCTCACTCATCCTTCAGAGTGCAGGCACTGTACCTCCGACCTCCAGGACTGTAACATCCTCACTCATCCTTCAGAGAGCAGGCACTGTACTTCCCATCTCCAGCACTGTAGCATCCTCAATCATCCTTCAGAGTGCATGCACTGTACTTACCTCCTCCATAACTGTACCATCCTCACTCATCCTTCTGAGTGCAAGTACTGTACTTCCCATCTCTAGGACTGTAACATCCTCACTCATCCTTCAGAGTGCATTCACTGTACTTCCCACCTCCAGGAGCGTAACATCCTCACTCATCCTTCAGAGTGCAGGCACTTTACTTCCCATCACCAGGAATGCACCATCCTCACTCATCCTTCAGAGAGCAGGTACTGTACTTCCCACATCCAGGACTGTGACATCCTCACTCATCCTTCAGAGTGCAGGCACTGTACTTCACACATCCAGGACTGTAACAACCTCACTGATTCTTCAGAGTGCAGTTACTGTACCTCCCGCCTCGAGGACTGTGCCATCCTCACTCATCCTTCAGAGTGCAGGCACTGTACTTCCCACCTCCAGGACTGTAACATCTTCACTCATCCTTCATAGAGCAGGCACTGTACTTCCCATCTCCAGCACTGTAGCATCCTCAATCATCCTTCAGAGTGCATGCACTGTACTTACTTCCTCCATAACTGTACCATCCTCACTCATCCTTCTGAGTGCAAGTACTGTCCTTCCCACCTCCAGGACTGTAAAATCCTCACTCATCCTTCAGAGTGCAGGCACTGTACTTCCCACCTCCTGGAGCGCAATATCCTCACTCATCCTTCAGAGTGCAGGCACTTTACTTCCCATCACCAGGAATGTACCATCCTAACTCATAGTTAAGAGTGCATGCACTGTACTTCCCACATCAAGGACTGTAACTTCCTCACTCATCCTTCTGAGTGCAGGTACTGTACTTCACACCTCGAGGACTGTAACTTCCTCTCTCATCCTTCAGAGTGCAGGTACTGTACTTCCCACATCCAGGACTGTAACATCCTCACCCATCCTTCAGAGTGCAAGTACTGTACTTCACACCTCCTGGACTGTAACGTCCTCACTCATCCTTCAGAGTGCAGGCATTGTACTTCCCACCTCCGGGACTGTAACATCCTCACTCATCCTTCAGAGTGTAGGCACTGTACTTCCGACCTTCAGGACTGTAACCTTCTCGCTCATTCTCCAGAGTGCAGGCACTGTACTTCTCACCTCCAGGACTGTAACATCCTCACTCATCCTTCAGAGTGCATGCACTGTACTTACCTCCTCCATGACTGTACCATCCTCACTCATCCTTCAGAGTGCAGGTACTGTACTTCCCACCTCCAGCACTGTAACATCTTAACTCATCCTTCAGAGTGCAGGCACTGTGCTTCCCACCTCCAGGACTGTAACATCCTCACCCATCCTTCAGAGTGCAGGCACTGTGCTTCCCACCTCCAGGACTGTAACATCCTCACCCATACTTCAGAGTGCAGGCACTGTACTTCCCACATCCAGGACTGTAACATCCTCACCCATCCTTCAGATTACAGGTACTGTACTTCCCACCTCCAGGACTGTAACATCCTCACTCATCCTTCAGAGTGCATGCACTGTACTTCCGACCTTCAGGACTGTAACTTCCTCGCTAATTCTCCAGAGTGCAGGCACTGTACTTCCCACCTCCAGCACTGTAGCATCCTCACTCATCCTTCAGAGTGCAGGCACTGTACTTCCCACCTCCAGCACGGTAACATCCTCACTCATCGTTCAGAGTGCAGGCACTGTACTTCCCACCTCCAGGACTGTAACATCCTCACTCATCGTTAAGAGTGCAGGCACTGTACTTCCCACCTCCATGACTGTAGCATCCTCACTCATGCTTCAGAGTGCAGACAATGTACCTAATAACTCCAGGACTGTACCATGCTCACTCATCCTTCAGAGTGGAGGCACTGTACTTCCCACCTCCAGGACTGTAACATCCTCACTCATCCTTCAGAGTGCAGGTAATGTACTTCCCACCTCCAGGACTGTAACACCCTCACTCATCCTTCAGAGTGCAGGCACTGTACTTCCCACCTCAAGGAATGTAACATCCTCGCTCATCCTTCAGAGCGTAGGTACTGTACTTCCCACCTCCTGGACTGTAACATCCTCACTCATCCTTCAGATTACGGGCACTGTACCTCCCACCTCCAGGACTGTAACATCCTCACTCATCCTTCAGAGTGTAGTACTGTACTTCCCACCTCCAGGACTGTAACATCCTCACTCATCCTTCATAGTGCAGGCACTGTACTTCCCACCTCCAGCACTATAACATCCTCACTCATCCTTCAGAGAGCAGGCACTGTACTTCCCACCTCCAGGACTGTAACATCCTCACTCATCCTTCAGAGTGCAGGCACTGTACTTCCCACCTCCAGGACTGTAACATCCTCACTCATCCATCAGATTGCAGGCACTGTGCTTCCCACCTCCAGGACTGTAACTTCCTCACTTATCCTTCAGAGTGCAGGCACTGTACTTTCCACCTCTAGGGCTGTAACATCCTCACTCATCCTTCAGAGTGCAGGCACTGTACTTCCCACCTCCAGCACTGTAACATCCTCACTCATCCTTCAGAGTGCAGACACTGTACATCTCACCTCCAGGACTGTAGCATCCTCACTCATCCTTCAGAGTGCAGGCACTGTACTTCCTACCTCCAGGACTGTAACTTCCTCACTCATCCTTCAGAGTGCAGGCACTGTATTTCCCACCTCCAGGATTGTAACATCCTCAGTCATCTTTCAGGATGTAGGCACTGTACTTCCCACCTCTGGGACTGTAACATCCTCACTCATCCTTCAGAGTGCAGGCACTGTACTTCCCACCTCTGGGACTGTAACATCCTCACTCATCCTTGAGAGTGCGTGCACTGTACTTCCCACCTCCAGGACTGTAACATCCTTACTCATCCTTGAGAGTGCGTGCACTGTACTTCCCACCTCCAGGACTGTAACATCCTTACTCATCCTTCAGAGTGCAGGCACTGTGCTTCCTACCTCTGGGACTGTAACATACTCACTCATCCTTGAGATTGCGTGCACTGTACTTCCAACCTCCAGGACTGTCACATCCTTACTCATCCTTCAGAGTGCAGGCACTGTACTTCCCACCTCCAGGACTGTAACATCCTCACTCATCCTTCTGAGTGCAGGCACTGTACTTCCCACCTCCAGGACTGTAACATCCTTACTCATCCTTTCGAGTGCAGGCACTGTAGTTCCCACCTAAAGGACTGTAACATCCTCACCCATCCGTCAGAGTGCAGGTATTGTACTTCCCACCTAAAGGACTGTAACATGCTCACCTATCCTTCTGATTGCAGGCACTGTACTTTCCATCTCCAGGACTCAAGTCCGTCTAATCGGTGTCCCTGAATCCCTTCATATATGTTACCTTGTTCACACTGCAACATCTCGTCAAGTCATAGAAACCATTTGCCTCCACTCACTCCCGAGAGTGTACACTACTCACAGGCACTTGTCTATCTCTCCACAGAGTGTTCGCCCTCACACTCTTCTTCCTAGAGATCACCTGGGCAGTCACACTCTTTCTCAGAGTGTGTATAAGGTGAGTGTCTTCCACACAGTATACACCAGTAGTGTCTTTACACTATATATATATATATATATTATATATATATATATATATATATATATATATATATATATATATATATATATAATATAATATATATTTTATATATATATATTATATATATATATATATATATATATATATATATATATATATTATATATATATATATATAT